TATTATAACCTCAGAAAACAAGCCTTTCTCAGCCATTGCACCATCTCCGAGGGGTGGCGCAGCTGCCAGTGCTCAGTGTAAGGGAGGTTTCCGGGCTGAGCTCTGCCACAGGAGAGGAGCTGCTTTGTCTTTTTCTACCACTGTGAATGTGAAATAGCTGTTAATGTTAAAGGAAGCGTTATGTGAACCTTCGGATGGAAATCTCCAAAACAATGTAAAGTCATCTCAGCTGAATGTCACTGACTTGCTCCTATATGACATATGTGTCAGGAAAGGATTGGGGGTTGTTGCTAGGTTTCATTTTAAGGCAGTCCTGGCTTAGCCGTCTCAAACTCATACATGGTTTAATGGTTTCTTCCTCTTACAAAATATTTAAATTCAGGTCTATTTCTGCAAAAGACCAAGACTTCAAAAATAGAAATCAAGACAGCCAAGTATATTAAAAAATAATAGGCAATAGATAGTGCTAAAAATGATTACAATACACTTTAGAAATTAACCTTAGGCCAAATTCCACAGGAAGACCTACCGGATAGGATCTCTGAAAAGCTAGCTAAATAATGAGTCTCATGGAAGTGATAACCAGATAAGAAGGTACAAGGTCATGTGACCTAAGTGGCTCCCTGAGACTCTGTAAGGTATTTCCACAACTACCACATCCACCACCCTCTATGAACTGCAATTTCACTTAAGATTGGCCATGCAATTGTGAGATGTTATTGCATTATTGATAAACCCAGGGAAAAAAAATGTCAAGCCCTTTTAAAGTCATTGTACCTCTGAGAACAGCCCTTCCATGACAGAATTAAAGCTAAGAGGTACCATGATGAGAAAGATTTTCCTATCCTCACAGCTGATTCCATACTCACATGAAAACAAGAATCAAACCCATTATGTTTGATAAGCATCCACTTCACGTGTACATTTTTAAAAGAACAGAAAGGAATAAAAGCAGAGAAAATAAAAACTAATCAATCTAAGAATTGGAGAGGATAACTGGATAATGAAGAAGAAAATCTTCCATAGCAACAGAATAGAAGAGACTATTTATGTAGATTCACAAGTAGATGAGCTCCAGATGTATTATTTTTTAATCTACTTCTCCCCAGGTGTTTTTCTGCTTAATAAATGTAACGTCCAAGTTGGAATATTGTCGAAGCATTGAATCACCTAAATGTTGGCTATGCTCTTCTGCCGTTAACTATTTTAAGTGATTTCTCAATACGGCAGCCGCTACTGAAATCATCAGCACACAGGCTTGGCAGAGCCAGGGAGAAAAAGTACAGTCCACAGATTTGTTTCTTCTGTTTTCCCAAAACAGAATCTCATAAAAAACATGCCCTCACATTCTGTCACTATGTAGCTGACAGAAAGAGAAATTCTGCCCCTATTCATAACTCAACATTAAACCCATTTCTGTGCCACAGAGAAGTTATCTAGCCCCGGGAAGTTGTGAGCACCCTCGCAACCGTTCCCATTGTATCCAGGCAGAATCATCAGTCAATCAGAAACTTTAGTTCCAGTTGGATGAGAGTTTTTTGGGCCAACTTAGAAAAGCGTACAGAACAAGTTTGACTTTTCTGCCAAGATCATTTCCAGGACATTGGCTAATTAATTATAAAAGCTTTTTCAAAACAAATTTGAACCTGGCAACCTTTTTTTTTTCCTACCCAAACAGAGAAAAAAGCAGGTTAAAAAATAAATAAATAAATAAAAGCCCAGGTTTATTGTGGGGATTTTTTTTTTTTTTTTTGCCTTAACTTCATCTTCTTTGCAAGCCTATTTTCTTCTTAGCGCCCTTTGTATTTGAAGTTACTAAAATAGCAGGAATAGAAACCAGAACTATTAGTTTGAATTCCCACTCTACCTTGGGTTACAGAAGAAATCAATCATGGGTCAGTTACAAAGCTTCTCTTCAGATTCTTTCATGGAAAACAAAGAACAGACTTCTTCCTCTTTGGGGAGATGAAGAGCTCATTGCATTAACTTTGACTATTATATTAGATAAATGAAAAGGGATAGTTGCTCTTATAATGATATACTCATCAACCTCATTTCAGCTTTGAAAACAAAAAGAACAAAACTCCTGAATTAAATCTCCCTGGTTTCATCTTACCATGAATCTTGATAAATATGAGATGCTAGGGATAGGCAACAAAGATTCTGGTTCCAAGGACCATATCACACAGGTTTTACAGCAAAATCGACACCCCAGAATCATACTGTCCAGCCTATTTCTTCTAATACAAAATTTTGTGTAAGACACATCTTAAGCTATTGAGTTACTTCTGCATATGCCCAGATATGAACAGACCCAGGAAAGTCAGAAATTTGTCTCAGCATTTATCAGCTGCTCATTGATAAATTCCTGGCAAGAAGAACTGTCCCAAATAAAAGAAGCCTTCCTCAAAGAGTCTGTCGATCAGATATTTCTAACTCTGCCTTATCCAGAATCAAGACCCCTGGCAAACCTCGTGATTAAAGTGTTGCTTGATACCTTACATAGACGCTGGCAGAGAATAATTGTCCATAACAGTAGTTAAAGGAATGAAGGAAGGAAGGTACCTCCATCACCATCTCGTACCTGGATCACAATCACAGAGCTAGTCTGCTGCTGTTCCTCTCAGCTTTTCGGGGAAACAGAAATAGCTCTGGGCTTCTCCACCTTCACTGCCATGCAGCGTGGACAACCATCAGAACCAAGGGCCAGAACAAGCCTGTTCTATTGACTTAATAATATCTGATACACTCATAAAAAGAAAACAATCGTGTATAAGCACATGTAAAAAGTGCGGCTCTGTGTTGGTTCCCCAAATTTTTGTGTTTTCTTTTCAATTTAATGGCCCTTCAAAAGTTATAGTGTAAACCATGGCGACTGAGCCCCTGAAGCCCATATTTAGGCAAGTACTTTTCTAGGGAGCATTCCCTAAGTGGTCTCTCCTGAGAGTTCCGATGGCTTCTGCAGTCGAGATCACTATGTAGAACAACATACTAAATCTTTCTATGCCTCGCCCTGGCTGGTTTGGCTCAGCAGTTAGAGCATCGGCCTGCGGTCCAGAGAGACCCGGGCTTGGTTCCCGCTAAGGGCACGTACCTCGGTTGCAGTTTGTCCCCGGCCCTGGTTGGGTCGTGCAGGTGGCAACCACTCAATGTGTGCCTTTCACGTCGATGTTTCTCTCTCTCTCTCCCTCCCACTCTATCTGAACAAAAAATGGAAAAATGTCCTCAGGTGAGGATAAAAAAAAAATCTTTCTATGCATCAATTTCCTCACTTGTAAAAATGGAAATAAAAATTGTACCAGTACAATATCGTGAACATGCGTAAATTCTTAGCTCAGGGGCTGGCCAATAATAAATACTTAACGAATGTTAAACATTGTCCTGGCCTGTTTAGCTCAGCAGTTAGAGTGTTGGACTGTGGACCAAAGGGTTGCGGGTCAATTCCGGTCAAGGGCACGTACCTCAGTTATGAGATTGGTCCCTGGCCCTGGTCTAGGTCATGCGGACGGTAACTAATCAATGTGTCTCTTTCACATTGATGTTTCTTTCTCTCTCCTTCTCTCCTTCCCACTCTATATTTAAAAATATAAATGGAAAAATATCCTCGTGAGGATTTTTTAAAAATTAAATGTTAACTATTATTATGACAACAAAAAAAAGTTGCTTAATAAATACTGAATGGAACCAAGATGTACAAACGAGTGTTGAGGAAAATTCTCAACAAGTCCTAGTGGACAGAGTTTTCCCTTTCCCACTACCGGTATGTACCCACCAATGTATCCCATATTTAATGACCTAGGGGCAAGCAAAGGGAGGGGAGGAGAGTTATTCACGTTAGCATCTGAAGGGGGAGCAGATCTGGGAGTTGAGAATTAATCTCAATATAGAGGGAGGAAACTAGGAGTGGCCAAAGCAGAGAGCTCCTCTTCTAGGGAACAAAAATCAGTTAAGATGAGAAAGATAACATCTGATTTCAGAGCATCTTAAAAGTCATATAGGCAATTCTGAACTTAACTTGATAGGAAGCCATTATAAGCTTTAATCCAAGAAATGTAAGGGCAATATTTTACAAAGTGTCTTAAATTGCAAGAAAATGGAGACAAGGAATGAGCTCCAAAGGCTTGCCTACAATCGAGTCTGCGATGACGACAGCCCTGTTAGGGTGCTTCTGGTGAGAAAGGGAAGGAAGAAAGAATCCAAAAGCTACTTCGCAAGAAAGAACGTTAATTTCATCTTTCCTGTACTTTTTGCAAATGTTGCCAGCTAAAGAAGAGCATCATCATAAAGAAAGCTTCACTGCCTTAGAAATATATAATTCAGATGTATTTATCCAAGTAGAATTTTCACCCACTTAGTCCAAACAACTGGTTTTGGTTTTAAATGTAAAATGCAAAATTATACCTACCCATCATTTTCTATTATTCACCCAGATATTCTCCCAACTGGGAAAAGGGCCCAGTTTCTACCATATTTTTTTTAAAGAAAGAAAACTGAGATTCAAACCCTAATTGTTCTACATTTCAAATAGAGTACCTACTGAAAGGTTAAAGTTGGCGGTTCACCTACTATCTGTTTTCATAGACAAATATACAGCCAACAAAATTACATTGCCTTTGCCAAAGTATACCCAAGAGTTAACAATTGCCAGAATTTCCTGGTTCTTTCTTTTTTATCAATGCAGTTTTTCATAAAGCATCTTATTTAATTCTCACAATAACCCTGAGGTAAGGATTATCATTACTACTTTAAAGCAGATACAACTATAGTTACAAGATTAAATTGCCCAAGAGAATAATACATCTGCAAAGGTGGAGTCAAGACTCTATTTCTGTGTTCCAAACTTCAAATCCCTTCACATACTGCCTCCTCTTCCCTCAGAATAAGTGCAAAAACTCCATCTACACATATTGGTTCTTTTTAAATCATGGAACTATCATTTCTAATCTTCTAGATATACATTTAGTCACACATTTCAAAAAAGCAAAAATTAATTTGCCTACCTGGTCCTTCTCCGGTTTATCAGAAATGTCATTCAGACTGGAGGAAGTCAGATTCCTATGGGCCATGGCTGGGCTACCTGGGAAAACAAAAGTAAATTCTATTAAAGTCTTCTTTCCAAAAACACAGAGACTTGGGTTGTACATTTTATCAGTACTAGTAGATGATGATGGGCATGGTGATGATGCTTTAGCTACATCCAGGTTGGAGCACAAACATGGTTAAATGGAACGTATGAAAAAATCCCCAATAACTTGTTAAAGTCTTACTGCCAGTCTCAATTTCAAGATAAGTTAAACTTTGAATAAACTATCAAAAACAATAAAAATAAATGTACTCCTGGTTTGGTTTGGTTTTTGTCACAGCCCTTTTACACACATCCTAATCTACCTGGTGTCCTTGCTTTTTACTGCCGAGACAGACAGAGCTGGCCTCGGGATACAGGCCTAGCCATCCTCTCCCCAGCCTCTGCAGTCCTTCCCAGGACACCCCTCCTTCCAATCAACCCAAGAGGCCACCTGTGTTCCCTTCTCTAGCTAACACGTTAATCAAGAATATTTCTCCTGAGTAGGCATCTGATCCAGAATCCCCATTCTTTGCCTCAAAATAGGATCATCACAGGCTCCCCTCACATCCTACATTACCACTCGCCAGACTAAAAGAAGTGTATCCCTTCTTCCCCCTTAATGGGCTGAACTTCTTACTGAAGAAAGTTTCATCAGGAATACTTCAGGGGAACCAAGCTCTCTGGCAACACAGCTGTCGTAGGTCAAGTCCACTGGCAATCCAGTCAGTGATTTTAGACACCGTTATACAAGAACAGAGAGGAAGGACCTCTAGACAAGTGAGAGACCATTTTCAAGTAGACTGTGTTAATGAACAGAACACCGAACTTTCCCTTTGCGGTTGACCTGAAATTTCTAGGCTTACTAAGCAAAAGAGTAACTTCTCAAAACCAGGGTGCTTGACCCAACCCCTGAAGGGTGCTGAGTAATGCATTCATCCTTAATCCTCAATGGTCTGACTCAGGCTGGTCTTCACACCAAGAGGACAAGGGTTGGGGGGAAAGGCACAGACATTCCAACACAGCTGGGTATTTGCTTCCAAACACGTCTTTATTACAGACTTTAATTCCTTCAGATCAAGACTTCAACACAGAGTTTTACAAAAGATGACAATCTGCTCCTAATAATTTAATGTCTATATAGGAGCAGCTCTTTAAATTCTATAGCTGTCTTTAACTACTGGATCAGGAAAATCATTGTTTTCCTAGGCTGGCCCACAGGATCCTTTCCGCTCCACTGCGTTTCATTGAGCAAGCATGTCCTAGGTCTCTTCAAGCCATTACCTGGCGGGATATTTTATTCTAGGAAAATTTGAGCACAGAGCATTTTTCAACGGAAAGTAACATCTGAAAAAATGCTGTATGGGAAATATTAAAAGAATTTCGTTGAAGGCCACATTTTCTTCTATGAACTGCACACCAGGTTTTTAGTGCCCACTGAATACAAATGATACCAGGTACAAACGTGAATCCCCCAAACAGCGCTGGGCTTGAAACTGACAGGCAATGAGAAATAGATACAATTTTGTACTCTACATTAAAAAATAAAGCCAGTTACTTGAACTAAATGGGTGAAAATTCTACCTGTGTAAGTACAGAAATATAAACTATATATTCCTAAGTCAATGAAGCCTTAGCAATGCCAATCATAAGTTAAAAGTAGCTTAGGTAAATGATTAGATAAGAAGAATTTCTAATTATAAAGCAATCGTATTAAGTGGAAGTATTGAAACAAATTGAATGCCGTCTTTCAGTAAGTAATTTAAACTTCCTGGGCAATATCCTAAATTAAGTCGCTGACTTGCTTTAGAAATACTGCAAAGGTACATTTCAACCCAAGACCTGTCCTAACTGCTGTAGAATCTGAATACATAGAAGTGAAATGAATAGGATTTTATTACAATGGTAGTCTTGATCGATGTCACAACTTTTCCAAGAAACCTCATACACTGTCTCATCATTCCTCTCATTTCTGAAAGACAGTTATGGTACAGCTGTCTATACGTGTACTATATGGGAGGAAGAAAGGCACGGGTCCAAGAAAGAGGTCGGTACCAGATGGGGAACAGGAGGCCCGTGTTAAGAAATAATCAAATCTATGGTCCCTCCTAACCTTACCTTAGTCTCATTAATAAAAGTACTGCTAATAAAAGTAGTATTTAAAAGTAATATCAGAAATACTCCCTCATGTTTAACTTTGTAACACACTGGAAGAATTCTGAAGTCAACACTTCTAGGTAAGCCCTAAGCGAGATGATCAGCATTCTTCCATTTTTTCCCACCTCCCTCCCTAGCAAACTCCTTCACCCTACACCCTAACACCTTGAACCAGAGGCAAATGCTTCCCAATGCAGTGGGTTCCCAAAGTGTGGTCCCCAGACCAACCACATCGGCATCACATGAGAAGCTGTTGGAGACGCAAACTCCTGGGACCCACCCCAGACCAACTGTGTCAAAACCCTGGGTATGGGGTTTAACAATGTGGGAATTAACAAACCTTGTGATTCTGAAACATGCTAAAGTTTGAGAAGCACTGCTTGGAATAAACCAGTTATCTTAACTGGAGGGTGTCCCCTCAGAATCTGAGTTGAAAGGTGCTCATATAAGTTGAAGCAGCCAGAGTGGCAGATCTGATAACCTTGTTCCCCTTCAAGCTGCTGCTCCGAACTATCAGATCTGAAGCAAATCATTCAATTAGCATCCTTGCCACATAAACGAGCAAAAACGATCATATTTTGCTTTTCCTCCAAATCCTCACCTACACTATCAAATAAATAAAGAACTTTGTTGGGAAACTCCCTGTTTAAGCAGCCTTTTCCAGAAACATACCACCCAATTCAAAAAGACAAGGCCAAGAGCCAAAAGAGATTACAAACCAGATTATCCCCGGGAGTCAGAAATGTGTGTGGCATTTTAGCAGACCCTGAAGCTGTTACACAGCAGGTCCCTAACGACGACGCTCTGTCGTGGATATTTTGCACCTCACATTCAGTAAGACACACTGTCAGAATAAACCAGCGCTTTCTAATTTGAGTTTTGTCCTATAATGTAAACTCATTATACTGCAATCCTGAGTGAGTGGGAGGAGGAGACGAAAACGTCACCTTGTACCAGAAAATGTGTTACAAGGATACCTTCTTGTGCAGGTGGCCATCCCTTTTCTCAGAACTACCACTAGCAGGCCCTTCCCATCTAAAATCCATAGCATACAGATGTCTTAAAACTGCTCTTGGACCAAAGAAACTTTGGTTTTTTTAAGCTACAGTTTTTAAAAAAGAAGAAAAAGAAGGGCCAGCCTCATGTGCATAATTATAATGAATTCACATATCACTGTTTTCTTGCCACAAGAAAAAGAAAGCTTTGGAGAATCGCATTTTCAAGCAGTTTCACACAATCAAAAACAATTTCATTTTCAAAGTACCCACTTGGCAGGTACATACTGTCTTCTATAAAAATGAACTGCATTCTGTACTAAGTTTGAAGATCATTTTTATTCTTTAGCACACATGTAGCAATTCATAAAGTCCTCTGCAATTACATTTTTAGATAAAACAAACAGGGGTGAGTGGAATGAAGAGCATAGAGAGAGGATGATCTTTAAATGTGTACATATTAGATAAAAATATAAGTATGGCCCCGGCTAGTTTGGCTCTGCAGTTAGAGTATTGGCCCGTGGACCAACGAGTCATGGATTGGATTCTGGTCAAGGGCATGTACCTTGGTTGCAGTTCATCCCCAGCCCTGGTTGGGGTCATGTGGGAGGCAACCAATAAATGTGTCTCTCTCACATCGATGTTTTTTTCTCCCCCACCCCCCCATCTGAAAATCAATGGGAAAATATCCTTGGCTGAGGATTAAAAAAAATATGTATGTAATGAAATGACACATGTACTCCCAGATGCACACCTCATACCTTTATAACCAGCAACAGAGAACCTAGGGACAAGCTCAAGCAAAGATCACATGGGCTTTATAAACTGTTTTTATTCTCATTAATAATTAAATAATATTTTCAGCATAAAAATAATGGGCATTAATGTCAAAAAGTTCAGAGCCATGGATATGATTTGAACTGCTTGGGACCACAAAATGAATAATAAATGTAGTTTCAGAGTAGTGCATGCTGTGTTCTGTCCCCACTGACTCACTGATAGTCTCCCCGCAACTTGTTGTTATAACGAACCTACTAGAAATTATCTATATTTAAGATTAAGACTCAACTACTCTTTTTGAGTACTGGGTACTTTAACTTACATTATCTTAATCCTCACATAAGCACTTTGAGGTTAATATTATTATTACCATTTTAACATAAACAACATGAACTTCAAGGAGGTTAAATGTATGGTCACACAGCAAGTGTTTTAAAAACATAATTTAAATCTGGATCTCTTAATACCAATCCCACTGCCTCTGAGGAATAAAAGAACATAAATATATGTATAAATTTCATCTCTTTGAATGAAGAGAAAATTTAAGGTATAACTACAAAGACTATATTCTATTTCCACGCAAATTTTGTGTAATATATTACTTAAAATGTTTAAGGTAGAAACGGTCTTGGTTTCCAGTTTTAGCTGTTCCCCAAAATGAAATTTACATTGTTTTTTCATACAGAAAAAAATGAGGGGGCTGGGGATATTCAACTCAGCTAGTTTGTTTGCTATGGAGATTAAATAGTAACCCCAAAGCATGGCTCTGTAACAAAGAAGAAAGGATGCTAAAAGCAATAGCAATGTAATTATAAAAGCAATTATGTCACACGCTTCTGAATGTGCTAATTCATAGTCATAGCCAGGTGTTTATGAAATCCCACAATGATCATACAGCCAATTCTTTGTTATTTCCATGTTGTTTGCCACATTTCAGGTTCTCCAACTGCAACTTCTTCCCATTTCAACCACTAATCAGGAATATAATGCGGCAGGAAAATAAATCACAGTAAGTTTGACTGAGAAAAGTGCACAAGGAGAGGATAATAGAAAAGCTTTGGTTTTGTAAGACTAGTTTCCTAG